AGAACACTGGGAAACAGCAGCAAAGCAGACAGGGCCTGTCCCTGTCCTCACAGGGCTTAGGGTCCACAGGGAACTCTGGGTGGGACCAACTGGCTCAAGATCAGTTAGTTATTTAATCACAGTTGTGATGGCCGCTAGGATGGGGACATTCCAGAGTTTACAGCAAGGTGACTTGACCCAGCTTGGGGGACCAGGGAGAGCTGAGATCTGACAGTTGGCCAAGAGGCAGGGAAAGGGCATTCCACACAGAAGGAGCTGCTTGTGCAAAGGCCCTGAGGCAGGACGGCCCATTCAAGAAATGGAAAGGAGGCCAGAGGGTCTGCGGCAGAGAGGTGGGGAGAGAGGGGGGCAAGGGGGCTGCCAAAGCAGGCGGGTGCAGTGCAGAGCCTGTGTCTTTCCAGGGCTTGTTCATGGGACAGCTTCCCCCAATCCGGTTACAAAGGGCTAAGCTGGAACCACTCCCAGGCTCCATGCCCAGTGATCCCCTCTCCCAGGACAGGGCCCAGCACCACTCACTGTTGACAGAAAGCCGCATTTCTTGACTAGAGAAGCCCACAGCATTGGTGGCGGTGCAGACATAGGCCCCTGCATCCTGGGTGGACGGCTGGGTGATGACCAGGGTGCCGTCCTTACTCACATTGTAGTGGGGACCCCTGGAGGTCAGGGCATTGGTTTCCTGCAGCAGAGCCACAGGGGACATCAGCAGAGCCTGCACGCCTCCCCCATGCCCTGGGCCCACCTCTCTGGTTGCTCATGGTAACAGGCTCCTCCTACCTTGGTCCAGGTGATGGTGGGGGTGGGAACTCCTGAGGCGACGCAGGGGAGAGAGGCTGGAACCCCTTCATTGGTGACGTAGTGGGTGGCAGTGGGATGGATTCTAGGCGGCACTTTTATAAACAAATCAATTTCATAAACCAATGTTCCTAGCAGCATTATTCACAATAGCCACAAGGTGGACACAACCCAAATGTCCAGCAACGATGAATAGATAAAGAAAATGTGTTATGGACATATAATGGAATATTATTCAGCCTTAAAAAGGAATAAAATTGATTCCAACTATACGATGTTCTGGAAAAGACAGAAAGTACTGTCTATGGAAACAGTAAAAAGATCCGTGGTTACCAGGAGCTGGGCCAGGAGAGGGATGAACGGGTGGAGCACAGAGGATTTTCAGGACAGTAAAAACATTCCATATGACACTACAGGGGTGGATACACGTTACCATACATTTGTCCAAACCCATAGAACGTACACCACCAGGAATAAACCCTAATGTAAACTACGGACTTGGGGTGCTAATGACGTGTCAATGCAGGTTCATCCGTCATAACAAACATAGCTCTCTGGTGGGGAACATTGAAAATCGGGGAGGCTGTGCATGGCAGGGGCGGGGGTAGGGGTATGTGGGAAATCTCCGTACCTTCTGCTCAGCTTTGCTGTAAACTTAACCTGCTCTAGGAAATCCAGTCTATTTAAAAAAAGAATGAATTTCTGACACATGACACACCGTGAATGAGCTTTGAAAACGTTATGGTAAGTGAAAGAAGCCAGACACAGGAAGACAAACATCATATGGTTCCACTTACATGAGGTCCCTAGAACAGGAAAAAAAAAAAAAAGAAAGTAGAATAGAGGTTCAAAGGGGCTGAGGGGGGGAGAAATGGGGAATTAGTGTTTCATGGGGACAGAGTTTCAGTTTAGGGTGATGAAAAAGTTCTGGAGACCGACGGTGGTGATGGCTGCACCTCAATGGGAATGTACTTAATGCCACTGAGTTGCATTCTTAAAAATGGTTAAAATGAGACATTTTGTGTTATGCATATTTTACAATTAAAAAAATTTTCAACAGGAGAATAAAAAACAGTCACCACTACCTGGCCATGGTTAAATTCATTCCCCATATTTTGCAGCACTGAGGCTTAGGGGGAAAAAAAGAAAGGAGAAAAATTTCATCCTCCAGACAGAAGGCAGCTTATGCTTGGGAGCCAGCTGTGCTCTTTCTCTGCTCTGGGACTTTGGATAAACCACTTAATCTT